AGTTGATGATTGACCCGGCTCTGAAAAAGGGGCACCATAAACTGTACCGCTACGATGGGCAGCATTTCAGCCTGGCGGTGAGTCCCTAGTCACCCCCCCGACCCCCACGCCACCCCCGCGAGAGGGGCTGAGCGGCTGGGAACCCCCCCCACCGGCCAACTGTCAGCCCAGGCCCCTGATCTGACGGGCGCCTGGAGAGAGGGGGGACCCATCCCTGCCTGGGAAGGGGGGCAGCCTTCCCATTCCGCGCCGCCCCAATTCCTTCCCACTAGATGTCCAGCAACCGGCCGGTGGAAATTGTCGAAGATCCCCGGGTCGTCGGGATCTGGACCAAAAACAAGGAGCTGGAACTCTCGGTGCCCAAATTCAAGGTGGGACCCTGTCCCCCTGGCCCCATGGTCTGTCCCCTCATCCCGGAGTTCGAAAATAACGCCAGTCCCGGCCCAGCCAGCTGGATTCTGAGTTCCCGCGGTGCAGGCCCGGGAAGTTTTGGCGCGGAGGGAGAAGAAGCGGTATCCCCCTCCAGGCCACTGGAAACAAAATAACACTCGGAGAAACTGTAATCTGGGCGCTGACACAGTGTGTCCCACCGCCCAGCTGGGGGCTCCGGGTCCCCACCTGGCTCCTGCCCCACCCAGCGCCTGGCCTCGGGCCCGCCCCCTTCCCAGCCTGGTGGCTGTAGGGGGACAACTTCCTGGCCCAAAGGGTCACCCCTTGACCCTGCAGCCAGGAGAAGAGGCCAGAATGGGGGGGTAGGGAAAGAGAAACTGTTTCTTTTTCCTCTTTCCTTCCGAACCCAGAGGACTTCCACGTTCCAAACGATTAAATCCTCGGTTTCCCGGGCCCGCCCGCGTGCATTTTTTTCAGAAAAAGATTTTTTTGTTTGTTTGTTTTTTAATTTACCCTTCATTGTTCTTAAATGTCTAGGCTGAGTAAGGGAATGCTATATTTTTGCTCTTCGGTTTCAATGTTTTCCAAACTCCCTCCTCCCCTCTTCGGGCCCCTGGCAGATCGATGAGTTCTACGTGGGCCCGGTGCCTCCAAAGCAGGTGACATTTGCCAAGCTGAACGATAACATCCGTGAAAACTTCCTAAGGGACATGTGCAAGAAGTATGGGGAGGTGGAGGAGGTGGAGATTTTGTACAACCCCAAGACCAAGAAGCACCTGGGCATTGCCAAGGTGGTCTTCGCCACAGTCCGGGGTGCCAAGGAGGCTGTCCAGCACCTGCACAGCACATCGGTAATGGGCAACATCATCCACGTAGAGCTGGACACCAAGGGTGAGTGGCCAGGCAGGCTGCGGGCTTCCATCCTCCCGATCCTTCCTTCCCCAGCCCACTGCAGGCTTGTCAGACCCCCTCACTCTTCCTCAGAAACCCCCGTAATCTTACTTATTTTTTGCCCCCTCTTGAGGGCAGAGTCACATGGAGCTAAATGTGTTGTCTGTTGCTAGGAAACGGGCTGTAATTTACCAAATGCGCTGGGACCTTGGCCACAGAACCCCTAGGGACCACCCAGAGGCTTCCCCACTGCTGTCACCCCTCGGGTCCTTCCCGGAGCCCTGGTGGCCCAGGTTTACAGGGTCCCCAGTGCTGCTGCCTCTGATAAGGGAGTAGGCAGAGTTTGTTTACTTGTGGGGGGCCGAGGGGGAGCCACCAGGGCACCTGTAAACACACAGAGAGAAGGTTGGTCCCTTGCCTTAGGCCGTAAGAATGTCCCCCGCCCCGTTGCCCCCTTCCCCTGAACCAAGCTGGGCTGCTGAGTGGCAGGAATAAGCTCCCACTGGAGACAAGGGGATGGGCTGCTCTGGGTGCTGGGGTTGACTCTGTATCGTCCCTCCTCTCTCTTAAAGAGACCGTAGCACCTCCCTGCACTGAGTCCTGCCTAGCACAGCCAGCCCGGGGAGCCACAGCTCCCACCCTTGGTGGCCTCACACCCTCCCCCTTTGCCAGCTGGAGGGACTTTAGGAATTGGGAAGGCCTCCCCAAAGTGTGCCTGTGGCCTCACTAAGAGGTTCCAACCCACCTGAAAGAAGGTGCTGGCCGCTGTGGGACCTGGCACCCGTCAAGCTGACAGTGTTGGGTCCAGAGTCGTTGGACCCCGGGCCCCTCCCTGGGACGACTTAGGTACAGCTCCAGGGTTTTGTGCGACAAGCTCTGGGGACAAATGAAAATGCCAAGATCAAGACACGCACATCTAAACCTTTGATGGTCCCGTTTTGTTTTGATTTTTGCATCCTGGTCTGTTGACTTGGGTCTCCGAGACCAGGCTGGGTGTTGGGAGTGGGTGCGGTGCCCTGTGGGCACATTTGTCCCCACTCCTGGGCCGAGCCTCTACCTACTTGTGCGTGTCCGGGGCGCAAGCCTGTGGTTTCTGCCCAACCCACAGGCCCCACCCCCCAGTTCCTCAATCTCTGGGGGGAGGGGTGTACGGGCTTTGAAATCTGCCCACCCCCTTGGGTGGCTGCAGTCAGGTCCCCCAGAGAACCGAGTGTGCTGCCCACCCCCACGGCGTGCCCACAGCCAGAGCAGCCAGGTCTCACCACAATTTCACTTGTGAAAGAAAAAGAAAAAAAAAAAAGGCCCTCGGAGACTGCTGCCTAAGTTTGTATTTCAAGAAAGAGACCAGCAAAGTGTAGAGAGTTGCTCAAGGAATGTGTCTCCTTTGCATATGTGAGCGGCTGTCCCTGGGGCTCTGTAGAGGCTCTATAAATATCAATAATCGCCTGGCCTGTGAAGACCTCTCTTCTGAGGGCCGCAGGTTTTCAGGGCCCAGCGGGACTCCGTGGGATGTGCCTGGGCCCCACGCAGGCCCCTGCCGATTTGGGGCTCTCCCGGGTGCGAACTCTTGGCCACCTGGCTCCAGGTAGTTAGCAAACAGTCACCTCTCTTTCACCAAACCTTCTCTGTTCTTGCTAAAAACCTCGGCTGCCTGTTCAGTGTCAAGGTGAAGGGGGCGTTACCTGGCCCTTGGGCACCCCGCCCAGGAGGGAGTCTATCTGAGGGCGCAATTTTTTATCGGAAGAGTCCTAGCCTTTGAAGGCCTTAAACTGAGTTCGGCCATTGGAAATGTTGGGCACTTTTGTGCCTTTGGCACCCAGATGAGGCTGCTGGGTGGAGAGCCAGGGAGGGCAGGACCTCCAAACACGGAGGGTGGGGATGCCAGGGGTCAGACTTCCGCACGCGGGGGCTCAGGATGCCAAGCAGGATGGAGTCCCATGGGGTTCCAGTCCTGGAGTGCGGCTGAGTCCCCTCTCCTGCCTGTTGCAGGGGAAACCCGCATGCGTTTCTATGAACTGCTGGTCACGGGCCGATACACCCCCCAGACCCTCCCGGTAGGCGAGTTGGACGCCATCTCTCCACTCGTGAATGAGACCCTGCAGGTAGGTTGTCGCTGTCACCTCCCCTATCGCCAGCTCCCTCCCACGCCCCCCACCTCTTGAGCCTGCCCAGTGTCCAGATCAGACCCCCCAGCCCCTACCTGTCTGTCCAAAGAAGGAATGAGCTGCTGCACCCCATGGCTGGTGGTCTCAGAGCCTTGTTTTCCCGAGATCTGCTCAGTGGCTCCCCTGGGACCCTTCCTGTTCTGGTGGCTTCCGGCCTCCTGCAGCCCTCAGCACAGGCCTGGCTTCCGCGGACCCCTCCTTTTCCACTTTGATGCTGGAACAGTGCTCTGTCCAGGGTTCTAGTGTCCAGTATTGGGGCCCTCTGCATCTGCTCCTAGACAGTGGGCTCAGTCCTCCAACTCGCAGCCCACACCACTGCTTCCGCGGGCCAACACAGGGCGCCTCGCCCCAGCTCCTCCCTTGGGAGTCGTCTCCACTACCTCAGGCCCTCCTGCGTCGCACTGCTCAGACCCGGAGAGGGGCTGAGCAGACAGGGCCCCGGCCATGGCCACACTCTCAATCCCCAGGCTGTAGTTCTCGCACCTGCCTCTGCCTGCCAGGTTTTGATGTCTGACAGCCGGAGGCCGGAAGGAAATCCCAGCTTCTACCAAGATGTCAGGATCTTCTCTTCCCTCTGGCTCTTGGATTAAGGAAGAACCTCAAAAGTTCCTGAAGATAATCACCTATTCTAGAGTAGGAAAAATTAAGACTGTCCCGAGATTCTGTTTTCTTTACTTGTGCTGCAGAAGTTTGCTCTGAGCTCCCTGGCTGCCAGAGTGAGAAGGGAAAGAGCCCCACTGCCTTGTGTGTTGGTCCCTGCCACACCCAAGCTCTCACATCTCTGTCTCTCTCTAGCTGTCAGATGCCCTGAAGCGCCTCAAGGATGGCAGCCTGTCCGCAGGCTGTGGCTCTGGCTCCTCCTCAGTCACCCCCAACAGTGGTGGAACACCCTTCTCCCAGGACACAGCTTACTCCAGCTGCCGCTTGGACACACCCAACTCCTATGGGCAGGGTACCCCGCTCACGCCGCGCCTGGGTACCCCCTTCTCGCAAGATTCCAGCTACTCTAGCCGCCAGCCCACACCCTCCTACCTCTTCAGCCAGGACCCTACCGCCACCTTCAAGGCTCGGCGCCATGAGAGCAAGTTCACAGACGCTTACAACCGCCGCCACGAGCACCATTACGTCCACAATTCTGCAGTGGCTGCAGTGGCTGGGGCCCCAGCCACCTTCCGGGGCTCCTCGGACCTCCCTTTCGGGGCCATGGGCAGCGCTGGGGGCGGCAGCGGCCCTGCATTCAAGGTCCAGCCACAGGACTCGGCCAGCTTCGCACACACTCCACCCCCTGCCCAGGCGGCCGCAGGCCCTGCCTTCAAGTCAGCTTTCTCCCCGTACCAGACCCCGGTGCCCCCTTTCCCGCCTCCCCCAGAGGAGCCTGCGCCCACCACAGCCTTTGGGGCCCGGGACAGTGGGGACTTCCGCAGGGCACCAGTGCCCCCGCCGCTGCCACCCGCTGAGCCTCTGGCCAAGGAGAAGCCAGGCACCCCGCCTGGGCCGCCGCCCCCGGACACCAACAGCATGGAGCTAGGGGGCCAGCCAACCTTCGGCTGGAGTCCTGAGCCCTGTGACAGCCCGGGGACCCCCACGCTGGAGTCGTCTCCCGCAGGCCTCGAGAAGCCCCACGACAGCCTGGATTCGCGCATCGAGATGCTCCTGAAGGAGCAACGCACCAAGCTGCCCTTCCTCCGCGAGCAGGACTCGGACACTGAACTGCAGATGGAGGGCAGCCCCATCTCCTCCTCCTCTTCCCAGCTCTCCCCGCTCGCCCCCTTTGGCACCAACTCCCAGCCTGGCTTCCGCGGCCCCTCGCCACCCTCATCACCACCCTCCAGTACGGGCCTGGAGGACATCAGCCCGACACCACTACCAGACTCTGATGAGGAGGATGAGCTGGGCCTGGGCCTGGGGCCTCGGCCCCCACCTGAGCCAGGCCCCCCAGACCCTTCTGGACTTCTGGGCCAAACGGCTGACGTAGCCTTGGACCTGGCTGGAGATAGGACCCCAACTTCAGAGAAGATGGATGAGGTACCCCCATCTTTCCATCTATCTGGGGTTGATTTTGTCTGCTTGAGGTCCCCTGTTGTCCCTTTGAAACATTAAAGATAACTGGCTAAGGAAGGAGCGACTGGGCTGGAGAAGCCAGTAGAATAGCTGAGCTGAGAGAGTAAAAGTAGGCTACAAAAAAGTACCAGGGCTGTGACTGAGTTGCTTGTTTGACTCAGAGCTCCCTAGCGGCCATGGAGAAAAGGGAAACATGGCCAAGGTCTGCTGTTCTCCATGTCAGTAAGTCAAGACTTGTCAAAAAGTCAAGACTTTTCTAAGACTTGAGCTTCTTTAATGGAGTTTGCAAGACCACAGAGTGTCTCAGCTGTGGGGCTGATTCAGCCCCTTCTCTGATGGATGCCTTAGGAAGAGTCAGGGCTGGTTGTGGTGCTCAGGCAGACCTGGAAAGAGGGATTGGCCAGAGAACTGTGCTTTCTTAGAGCTTGGTGCGCTTGAAGAGATGGCAGAGCCTGGCAGGTGGGGCGCTAAGTTTTCCCTCTACTGCCAGCTTGTTTGGTGGCAAAGGTGGCAGGGGGTGCAGAAGCAGGCTGCTGATTGCTCTGCCAGTGATTAGGGCTAGGTTTCCCTGGAGAGGGACTGGAGACCTGCCCTGGAGCTGGTGGGTGGCCAGGAGGGAGATCCCTTCCCGGGCCCTTTGATGAGGCCGCTTGGGTGCCTCAGGGAGGAACAGAGAGAAACCTAGCCCCAGCCAGGTAGGGACCATAAGTGCCTGCAGCCTGCAGCAGCTCCAGGAAGCTGCCAGGTGTGCAGAAGCAGGGGGCGGCCTTGGATTAGGGGTGCTCACTGCCAAGAAGCCCCCACCGCGCCTAGGGTAAACCGAAGACCCAGAACTGGAGTTTTGTCAGGCCCGGGTCCGCACCCCTGACTCCAGAGATGAGCTGAGCTCCAGACTGGTCCTCGGGGGACCCCTGCTGGCAACTGCGAGAGCAGCACCCAGGCTCCCGGCGCTGCCTTGCCGGGTCTTGGGTGTGAGCTCTGTGCCCACAGCTGTGACCTAGGTTGAGGTGGAGCAGTGGGAGCGACCTAGAGCGGTCCAATAGTGAGGGTCATCTGGTCTCCACAGGGGTCGCAGGTTAAAAGCGCAGGGTCCAGACCTTGAGCCTCAGCTGCCACTGCGGGGTTCTGTGACCTCAGGGAAGGCACTTTCTCTCTCTGAGTGTCGGTTTCATCAGCTGCGGCCAGACAGCGAGAGGAGGGCCCCTCAGTCCGCCAACCAGGGCCCTGTGAATCCTGTGGGCTCCTGCTGGTCCCACCGCTCTGGCCCAGGGAGGGGCTGGTGCTGCCGGGCCTTGCGATTGGCTGGCTGCTTAGCCGCCTTAACCCTCTTTCTGCTGCAGCCGGCCAGGGCCCAAGCACAGGGGGAGCTGCTCTGCCCCGCTGGCCTGTTCCTCACCTGTCACCTGCAGGACTGACCTGAGAGGGAGGGTGTGCGTGTGCATGTGTGCGCGCGTGTGTGCGGCACCTAGTGAAATCCGGAGCTTCCTGCTACTGTAGAGCTGGATTCCTCTCTACCCACCCCCAAGTTTCCTCGGAGGCCCCCTCGGCTCCCCCTTAACCTTCTAGGCACTCCCTGCCTCTTCCACCTACAGCTGTACCCCGTGGGTGAGGGCCTTCTTCATCCAACTGTGCAACCAACTCCCCAAAGCCCCAGGCCATCCTTGACTCCTGCTCCTCACCCCTTATCTTTTCTTTCTTTTTTTTTTTTTCGGTTTTTTGAGAGAGTCTCACTATTTAGTTGAGACTGACCTGGAACTCACTATGTAGACCAGGCTGGTCTTGAACACACAGCGATCCTCCTGCCTCCACCACACCCAGCTCCCCTTCTCATTTTTCACATTCCAGCCACAGCCCCTGGGGGGCAGGTGTGTGTGTATGGGGGGGGGTTCCAGCCCAGCTGGGGCTCTCTGGTTGGTTGTTTGGCTTCTGTTTGTTTCTCTTTTGAGAAAGTGTCTAGAAGTGTAGTTCAGGCAGGCCTTTAATTTGTGGGGATCTTCCTGCCTCAGCTTTCCAAGTGCTGGGGTGACAGGAATGCACCACCACACCTGGCTTCTGATTGTTTTTTCCTCCTGTCAGAGGAATCATAGTGGAGTTCCACTTACAGGTGTGTGTGTGTGTGTGTGTGTGTGTGTGTGTGTGTGTGTGCGTGCGCATAAATCCTCATAAGCCAGTGAGGCAGGTACTGACTGTGATGCCCCAAATGAGACTGGAAAAACTGAGGCTTGGAGAAGCTCAGTGACAGATACACTTCCAAGTGGCTGAGAATCCACCTTGGTCCCCCAGGTCATTTCATTTTTCTATTTTTATTTTTTGAGATAGGGTCTCACTGTATAGTTCAGGCTGGCCTTAAGTTGAAGCAATCCTCCTGCCTCAGCCTCCTGATCACTAGGATGACCACCATGCCCAGCTCCTTGAGTCTTGTGCAAGGCTATGCCTCTGTCTCTCAGGTGCTCCAGGGACCCGGGGGCCACTCAACCTCACTCATACTTGCTGCTGCTCTCTCCACAGGGCCACCAGTCCTCAGGCGAGGACATGGAGATCTCAGACGATGAGATGCCCTCCGCCCCCATCACCAGTGCCGACTGCCCCAAGCCCATGGTGGTGACCCCCG